CCCAATCTCGACTTTTCTCAATGAATCAGCTCCCCCTGCGCTCTCGTTCATATAAAACCACGACATTTATGCAACAACAATATGCTTCGACTGACTGGATTGTGGACGGCGAAGGATATAAACACATGTTTTGCACGGTGAAATGGATACGTCTCGCTCACACACTGTCCTCAGAGAGAGCTTAGTGCTGCTGGAGCCTCAAGAACTCTGATTAGTTCCTTCCTAACATTAATCACCTCTATCTCCTGCAGCTGCTCCTGGTTGGTGGAGTACATCTGCTGCAGGGCCTGCTCCAGCTCATGGTTCCTGTCGAGGAGGGTTTTCCCCAGCTCCGCTGCCAAATGGAGATCTGTCAAGACACAGGAAAACATGTAAACATAAGATACGGGACAGTTTCAATGCCCAAACACAGGCAAGGGATAGAACTAGATGTGTGTAGTGGGTACACACACAAACCTCGTTGTCTCACGCTATTACTTATCTGCCACTGGTGAATCAGGGAGGAATCTGAAACATGCCTTGAGATCTCCTTGTGACCCTTTCCCCCCCCCTCTGCTAAATTCTTGTGAATTCTGGATCTTGTCCAGCAACAGTGTTGACTACCCCGCTGAGGTGAAGTGAATCTTATGTGGGAAGTACTCTGGGCACAGACAATAACAATGCAAGGAAACCAAACATGTTTCATGCAACAAGCAGTGTGTGCCCTGTGATTTTAACTCAAACTTGCAATCAAACAGCCTTAAGCCCTACTCTGACGTCCTTAGAGTTGGTGGCGGAGAGGAGGATGCTGAACAAACACTTATGAATGACTGAAATCTGGTCTTGAAATCTACAAACAGCAGAAAGTTTTCAGTTTTATTCAGCTCCACGGTGGAATGCTACAGGAAGTCTTTCCTGTCTGCTGCCATCACTCTGCTAAGGAGCCGCCTCTGTGTCCGGACTGTGGCTCTTTCTTTCCTACAACCAGGACTTGGTCTTGTACATCGATCTGTTTAATCATTATAGTAACTCATTACTCTTTTCGTTATTGATTTACTTGCTAATTATTTTCTTGATTGATATATCATTTTTGTAAACACAGCAATAGTAAATAGTGCCCAGCGATGATGTTTTAAAATTCCTCATTTTATTCGCCCCACAAGCCAAAATATTTTCCTCTATACATTCTCTGTATTATCTTATTTATTAATTTATTTTTTTCTTTTTTATTCTTATCTCTACTTCTATATCTAGCAAAGGAGTTATTGTATACTGTTTTATCTTGTACTGTATCTTTTATACCTCTTTATTTTCTACACTGTTTTTGTAAGCTGCTGAAATTTCACATTTTCTTGCGGGAGTCATCCCAAAAGAATCAATAAAAAGAATCTAATCTCTAAGCCTAAACCCAAACATACTACATTTATTTTAATATATGCCAAACATACGCATCAAATCCTCACACTTACGAAGCTAGCACAAGAATGTATGCTTAAATAAACGACTGAAACAATGAATTGTTTTATCAAAATAGTTGATTATTATATTAATCAACTAAATATATAGTACATAGCACCATATTTATTTATTATTTACTTACCTCCCTTTTTTGTACTATT